CATCGATATCTGGACGAAAAAGACATCCTAAGGAGCTAAGCAATAATAGTTTTCAACGATTATTAATTCAATTAACGAACAATCCAGCGTATTGATGAACGATTAATTCCCGAAGCTCGCGTCTATGTACAAGATCGACGAGGTACGAGGCATCAATGTGTCCGAATATCGATACAGGTCGCCGTAGCTCGCTGGCCAGGCCACCGTAGATAGGTAAACCTACGTAGACGGGTAAATAGGTAAGTAGGTAGACGCGCGTAGTCGAGGATAATTAGCTAGGTAAGTATTGTACATAAGTAGATAGCGATAGGGAAGCACGAACGGCGGTAAGCGAGGCATCAAAAGTACGAAAACGAGAGAACAAACATTGCGGGTTGGGCGCGAGAACCGCTCTATATCGTGGGACGAACAATGAAAGAAACGTGGATTTTAATTCGTGATTCCTGCGCGAGTCGATTACGGAAACCGCGTGCAAACCACACACACAAAAAAAAAAGGAAGAACGTTTCTACTCTACGCTTATTTCGTATTACGTAAATTCGGCGGATTCGTTACTCTGCTAATCACCTTTATGCTAAAAAAGAAAACACCAAAAAAAAAACACAAAAATAATAAGAGATTAAAAAATAAATAAACGGCGTCCTTTTTTCAACGCGGCCAGGTTCTTTGAATCAAAACCGTCCTTACGGCGCGGCGTAGCCACGCGAAGAATCATCGAGATCAAGCTTGTGAATTACCTGCTCGCGCGCGCCAGCTCAAATTTCAACAAATTTTTCGACCAGATATCAGCGATCCATCGTTGCACGCGCGTGGAAATGTAGCTGCATGATCGAACGCGATGGAACAGGAGAGCTGGGGAATTAAGTGGTAGAGTGTAATGCCAAATGGGGTTGTTAACTGAGTTTGCGACAGGGGATTACTTGCAACGCTTTTCTAGATTTTTTGGTTTAATAGTGGCTCCAATAGTACTTGTGTTCGCCGTGCGCTGAAAGACGCCGAGCATTCTTTCGAATAAATTCCGAAAGCTATTGTGAACAATAACAGTTACTTTCGTTTGCTCCAATTCGATTAAATGCAATTTATACGATGAATACATCATGTTCCAATGGCCGAAGCGTAAATAAAATATAAAAAAACGCGTAGTTTTCTATTTGCATACAAAGGAAGTTTCTACGTGTAACAAAAGTTTACGTAAAAAGAACGTTTTTGTTCTGAAAACTTTGAACTGGTTTATGAATATAAAAACTGAAGCATGGACGTTGTATCCACGTGAAAAGTGAAGCAAAATTGTTAACTTGTACAATACCTTTCATTTTATAATATAAAAGTGTTGCAAGTGATTCTATTCGAGGGTATGAACGAATGCTTCGACTGAGATTAATGTATTGAAATGAAAAATAGGACCAGGCTTGTGGTTACACCGAGACGCGTTATTGTCGCGATTAGGGGATCGGTATACGGCGATTTTCTTAAATCCCAAACGTGTGTTCCAACAGTGATAAGAAATCTCGTCGGTACGGTACTGATAGGGATTCAATTAAGTGTCGCCATCCGACCGATATTAAATATCGATCGAACCGGTCGACTCGCGTCGATTACTGTTATTTCTTAAACACCGTTCCGATACGTCACGATCAATAATGTTTTCCACGAATGTTTTTATCGAAATAACGAAAAATGCGATAACATTCGCAAACACGCACTACTGTATTCGCTGCGACACTAACATGAAAAAAAAAAAATATGGCAGCTAATTGTACAGACTCCGAGGGGAAACTAAAAAAGGATCGGATGAGAAATCAAACTGTTGAATTAGTGCGGCAGAGACGGGGCGAAATTCTTATCTGGATTCCAGTTTCGAATAACGAATAAGGAATACAAATATCGAACAACGAATAAAAACAACTGTTCACCTGTTACTCGTTAAATTAAAATTAGACTTCGAATTGTGGATTACTCTGCGATGAATGAAGGATTTAATAAATTTCCACGCGTTGGCTTTATTCGTTATTCGTTACTCGAATTACATTTTGTCCGTCTCTGCGTATGAGCCATGTTTCGCGGAGTGGTTGTTGAGGTTAATGAACGGATGATATTAAAAAATTATGATCAAAAATGGGACAGCGCGAATAGAAGATACAGCGAGTGGTCTGGAGCGAAGAATCGCGACGATACGAAACTTTTTTAAGTGGTTGACGAATGATCGACTCCTCGAGGGCATTTCTCGTCGCTTGGAGGAGTAGTCGAGCCTCGCAATATTAAATATCGACCCTTCTTTAACCTCGAGTTTGAAATATATATACATTAATATCAATCTAGGCTTATAAATTCAATTTAATTAATGAATCGATTTAATAATGTCAATTATTTCAATTCAATCAGGCCACTAAATACGCAAAAAAATTACAACATTTGAAACATAGTAAAAAATGATTATTTAATGATTTCGAGGTTCGTCTACCTGCTCAATTCGTCGATTAGAGTCGACAGGTGTCGCGTATATTTTGGCGGCGCGTCGTAGGTAGGTAGATGGACAAACGCGCACGAAAGACGTCTGCTTTGCAGACAGTCATCGGTTATCTTATCTCGATAATGAAACAAGGACTACCTGACCATTATCGCAAATTATTATCGTGCACCCATCACACGAAAATAGGTGAAGAATGGTGTTGATTAAACTGGCCCGAGACAAGATGTAATCCTTATTACGCGTCTAAGGATCGATTCGATCCCTATCTTATAGTGGCGCGTGATCTAGGAAGAATGTTATGTACCGATAACGGGTCAAATCGGCGACGCCAGAATGTAACCGAAAGAATCGTGACATTCGGCGATCTTAAAGCCTCGTTGCAAATATATTCCACGCACAGGACATAAGAAAAAAGTCGCGATAGCATTATCTGATAATCGAAAAGCGCTTAAGTGGATAAATAAGATTGTTGACACAGTTTCTTGATATTTTTACTATTTTTAGACAATGAATTGACACAATCGTGTGTTTAATTATTGTTAATAAATTGCTTATGACGAAGACTCGACCATTACCCACTACAAATGGTACAAATGGCCATAGAATGTCTACAAGCTTAAAGATCTCTCTCGCATGAGCAATAACCATTCGTTATACTACATTAAAGGCTTGATTTACATTGAAGAAAGCATAATTCATTAAAATAATACAGTATAACGTACTACCGTTTGTACTAATATTTGCTATATATCAACATATTCTACATTGTCAGAGCGACAACCAGTGTTTTTAAGAAGTGATACTAATTTCTCTGGCCGTCACTGTATATGCCACGCGCCCACACATCTACCTACCTACTTAACATATTCGCATACGCAGAATTTCACGTGTTGGCGGGACCATACCATTCGTTTGACGTACACCGTAATTTATTTAATTAACTCTCGGTTGCTAGTGGCGTGCGTGTTAATTGTACGCGTCGTCGCGACGTCGCTTCCAAGTATCAATGTTGCAATAACCACCGGACGCCAACACCGTTTTTTCCAAAGCTTTTCGCTATATTCTTTGTATCAGTGTTGGACAAACACCGTAGTCCCATTAACGATTAACGATCACGATCGCCAGTGATCAATCCGATCCAGCGATCGAACGATTCATGATTACCCGAATGGTATCGAGCGCGCGCACGATACGCTCCTCGTTAATCGTTAATCTCGAAACAATTACACTTTTTAATTATGGTTGAAACGATAAGTTAATAAAAATGTTCCGATGAAACAACAAAAAAAAAAAGAAAGAGAAAAAAGAAAGAAGAAGAAGAGAGATAAGCTGGTTAAAAGTTAAAAATAAATCTTTCATTCAACGATTGCGAATTACTTAATTAATTATTGTATTTACAGATTATAAATGTTACTTATCATTAACGTTTATCATTAGCACGAATTACTTCTAGTTAAACCGTCACGAGTGTAATCACAGAATGATCGATGACTGCCCAACTTTGCGCACATCCAGCCATCGAAAGGTTTGTAAAGACTCAACGTTAAAAATTTCGACCTGACACGTTCGAGGTAGACTTCTTTCGGTCGGATTTTGTCTAACAACTTTGCCCTAATCTGGACCTATGAATCACATAAATATAATTCGCGACTTTGATCTTGAATCCTAATGCTTTCGGACAAAAAACCGACACGGTTAGCATGTCTTCGCCGATTAATCGATTACCCTACTGAAAAGGTTTTCTCATGATCGAATTAATTCGTCGAATGTAAAAATAAATTATTCTTTATTAAGAATGTCACGTGTCAGCCCAGATTGAACCTGGTCCATTATTAGTGCCATCGGTCGATAGATGCTTTGATACGTTTCCGCAGGCCTGGACACGCTTTATACGAAATGAAAATGAGGAATAACTATTTGAAATAACATTTCAACCGTTTGTTTTATGCTTGAGCATAGAATAGTAAATTTTTGTATGGGAACCTGTTGGATACTCATACTCATCTGCATATTCGTGATTAATGGGAATCATTGTCACGTTATGTACTTGAAACTATAAATAGCTGAGCTATTGTAAGCTTCGAAATAATAATATTATCGTTTCTATGGCGTATCGATACTTATTACTCGTCTATCTAAGCATTTATTCGTCACTTTCAAATAAGGTGATAAAATAAGCTTTTAACGAAACATGTAACACTAGTTATTCCTAACAAAGAGAATTTCATTGTTTCGTTGCTTCGAATAGAGAAACATACTATACATATTGTTCAAGTTGTTTTCGACAACTACATTTCGAAAATAATTAAATAATTTAAATGATATTTCAAATAATGTTCATTCGAAAGTGCCCAGGACTGCATTCTAATAGTCAATCACTATCGATGGGGTGTACCATATTGATAACAGATAATAAGATGTCACTTTCTATCATTCTGATTTGATTTCTACGCAAAAGTATCGACACATATCAATTAATAGAGTTTACACTTATCAATATATCAATCTTCAATAGTTTATAGTGCAAATATCATATAAATAGATTGTAGTGCTAGGCATCGGAGTTTAATCGATACTTCTTTTCTACATTTTCTTAATTGAATTCTTTCGTAATAGCTTATCTCGATAGGGATAGCCCTCCTCTAATTGGAACTGAACTATAATATATTGCGTCAACAAAATTCCTGTTAACGACTTTTTGATCTTCATCGATTTTTGAGAAAATTGTTCTTGTCAAAGAATTTGTCTCTATCCTGAAGACAAGTCTTCATCGTGTTGTTTCCACCACCGCGGCATGTACCCCTACTTTCTTTAATTTCCTTCTACCACCAAAATTTGTGCTTACAATTTCAATTTTATTAATTTATATCGTTCATTTAGTTTGCGTCGCAGCGACGCCATTGCAAAATGTTAATCCACTTCGATACACAAAGTGTGCACGGCATCGACGCGACCAAGGACGCGTTACAAAAGAGTATCGATGTCGAAAATGTATGTCAAGAACCTGAGAACCTGAGAATATTATCGACATATAATCTTATCAGCCCCATCGTTATCGATGTTCACTATCGACAGCACAATTTTCATTAATTTTCTTTCACTTGTTCGCCCCTTTTATCGTTCCTGTCTCTGGCGGACGCTCGTCGTCTTCTCCATGGCATTCGTGAATACCAATGGGCATGACTATGATCGTTGAATACTATACAATCACGATTAACGAATAAACACGACTAGCTCTGGAAGATCGTAGATGGAAAATGCAGTTTGTGATCGGTGAATGAACTGACTATCGTGAATGACTTTAAGAAATAAGTAAACACAAAGTAAATACTGGACAACTCTAGTGAATAACAGATGCGTATGATCAATCTCGAGTAATTGTTCTTTTGTCGGTCATCGACAATTACGCGCTTGTAATCCAGTCACTCTCTGAAGCACACATGATATTAGGAAAATATATTCATCGAGTCGATACTTTGTACGTACTTTTATTACAAATGGTGTGACGATAGCGAGGCATCAGTGACTAAATAAAAGTATATGTAACTATTGACTCGATAAAAATATCTCCATAATTAAATTTACAGTGACAAATTCATCGTAGCTTTACACGTGCGATCAAAATGAGCGAAAATGAGATGAAGATGGCGTTAATCGCTCATTGAAGGTCTTCAATTCACGTTAGCAATCTTAAGCTCGAAGAAGATGTCTAATACTATGAAGATCAAGTATAACAATAGACAGATAATTCCTACCTTCTTGTTCAGCTTAAATTTAAAAGATGCGATGACCGTGAATAGGATGATTATGCAAATGACTAATGAAAGTACGCTGTACGAAAGAGCCCCGGACACGATCTTCACGGAACTCCCAGTGAGCAGACACTTCACTAGCCATGGTAGACCCAGGCAGAGTAGAATATCGAGAATGTTCGCCCCCAGAGTGTTGCTCATCGCCATGTTCCCGTCACCTGCAAATACAGAGCTTGGTTAGGGAAATAATTCTAACAAATTCCATCGAAGCAGTGATTCTCGACCTTGTGACACTGTTGCACGACTTAATAACAAAAGAAATTTATGATAAAGCAGAGATTCAAAGATAGACAAAATTAGGCTCACGAAAGATAGGACCAGGCCTCACCCTGTCTCGCTAAAATCACGATGGACGCGAGTTCCGGTATGTTTCCTCCACCAGCCAGGAACGTGATGCCCATGATGGAGTCTGGGATGCCTATGGTCACTCCAACGACCGTCATCATCCAGGAGAGCAAGTAAGATGCTATCGCGATCCAAATCACGCACATGACGAACGTCAAGGGGTACCAATTCTTGAACCGTTCGCGTCTAGTGTCTGGTACCGTCACGAACAGCAGGAACTTCAACGGCCAGTTCAACAAGAACCAGCATTTCAACAGCACTTGCTTCTCCGTTGGCCATGCAAACAGGTTTTCTGCAAACGACCAACGAAACGATAGATTTCGATGAAATTGAAGTACGTTGTGGTCCACGCAAAATTAGGGGTAGTTTAAGTCATGGTTTTGCCAAATTCAAATTAATTAAAAATATACAGGACCTGAAAGTTTGCTCTTTTGGTCTTTTATAAAAATGTACGCAATTTAGGGATGACAAGTACCTATTTCCTCGGCTTTTTCCGATCTCCCAGATTGGCTAGCAATGTCCAGGTCGTGTCGTCTATTTTGTTGATGTTCTCGTACAACGGTTATCCCATTCTCTAGGTAATCTAAGCCGTTCTTGAAACGTGGCTTGGACAAATCCACGTGCGACGAGCTCTCGATGACACTGACCACTAATCAGTCATCGAAAAGAAGTTGCTTTAATTTTTGCTTATAACAGGGATGAAATTAGCTGCATACGCAGGGAGAACGTGTACTTACGCACCACAGTGGAGCCTTTCCCCTCGCTGGAGCAAGATCGCAGGGCCCATTTACCACCGAACAGCAGGACCAGGTAAATAAAGAACAACGCTAGCAAAACCGTCGCTTCGTACCACTCGATCAGCCCGTCCCACATTATCACTACCAAAGTTCCAACAGATATCACGTACACAATACAATCTCGTGACAATATTCGCCATTCTAATTGTATCGCCTGTTGAAAGGTGTAAAAGGATTAAAAGAAAGAAAAAACAAGAAAAAGGAACAACGACTCGGATCGTGAATTAGGGTTGAACTTGGACCGGTTATCAGACGGAGATAAGAGCGAGAGAAAAAAATGAATTAGAATTAAAGAATGTAATTGCAAGGCGCAAAGATAACAGTATCACCGATAGATAGATCCGATATGATTGGATATTGATAGTTAAGATGAGATTCATCGAGATACTTCTTTATCTATGTAGAAACATCACAGATAGAGTAGGGGAGCTGTCTTCTAACGACTCTATTTATAATATCTATGTGTTTTTCCACCGTTCGACGAAGGAGAAGTGAAAATAATTCGTATTATTTAGTCTATAAGATCGAAGAGTGAACTTTTGGACAGCGGTACGTACACAGTCTGATAAATAACCGAACTGAAGCTGTAAAAACTGGTGGTATTATTAGTACAAATGTTATTTTTGTATAAAGCAGGTATAAAATATAGAGAAAAAAGCCACGAACTTCCTGAAAAGGGTTTGTAAACCCTTGGCAATAAATTGGATTTAATATTTGCTTCTTTAATGATAAAAAATGGATCCGCAGAATCTAGACACCAGGATCTTTGTAATAAACTAACTACCTACATTTGCTCCGCCGCTCTATCATGTCTCTACAAAAAATTGAATAGATGCATCCAACAAACGTGGTACAAACATTAAGTACTATCGAGACTTTAACAAGATGACAATATAAAGAGTATAGTTTATTCATAAAAATGTCCGTGTGTATGGCACTGACAGAAGGCTTCACTAATAGCCAGTTGACGTTGATCCCAGCACCATCGTCGGTTTTATTTCTGATGGCGATCGCAAACATCATCAAGTAGCAAATTTCACGTACTAGATACATCTCTAACCGCGATCGTTCCTTTAAAATGATATTAGGAAAATATATTCATCGAGTCGATACGAGAGAATCGTTTACTGAGTCGTCAATGTGTCGCCGGTATCTGGCCACATCTCTCTCGGTGTCATCGGTAGCGCGATATATAGTACTTATAAAATCGGTAAAAAAAATTCGATCCAGTTATTTATCAGGCAACCTGCGTACACGTGGACCACGGGGTACGAAGTGACGCATGTACTATACTTACGTGAAGAGCAGTCAAGGCCCCGCAAGCTGGAGTTGCGAAAGTGTCAAACACGGCGCTACCGACCACGGTACCGACTCCCAGATCAGATTCGGTGAGAAACGTGCCGATTAAGTTAACGAACATTTCGGGAAACGAGCTAGCCATCGCGAGGAACGTCGCTCCAGCGATGTCGGTGCTTATGTTCATTCGCTTGCATATTCGTGCGAGGGATGGTAGCAGATAATCGTCGCAAACGAATGCTATTAATACAAAACAGTAGAATCCGAGGAAGGCGTGCAACACCACTGCCCCGTGTTGACGTTCTTTATTCGTGAACAGATCGTCGGGAAATTCCCCCATAGAATAGTCGTTCTCCGCTTCCGGTTCATTCTGCGCGTTGATCCAAAATCGACGCCTCCAGTGGTTCTTAACCGGTCGCAAGCCATCGTTCTCCAACAAATTCGAGCGAACGGTGCTCGACGAGTGGCTGACAAGCGACTCTACAACGAAAGGTTCCTCCTATTTAATTAAAAACAATGGTACTGTCTTGTATATACATGCGTTCAACTTGGATGAGGTTGAATTCTGTTTTTAAATATTGCACCACATATAGCTTAGGTATAACAGATAGCCGTGGACGCCAGTTTAATATACCTAGTATAAAAACAGAATGGTAATATATTTAAAAGCTTTATTGAAGAATTGTAAATGCTCCTGGAGGGGCGTCGAATGTAATAGAGTTAAATATCTTTATTCAACGTCTCGACGAGGATTGAATGCGTGCCTTTGAATGAGATTTTTCTTGCCGTGTACAAATTAAAAGTTATAGTATGGGGTGAGAGCCTTTCCTTCTTCATTTTCCCAATTTAATTGATGTTAGGAAAACCCGAGATGTTTAATAAAGATATTTGTACAAGAATATACCATTGTATTCAATTGGATCTATATCCTACGACCATCTTCGAGGTTCTGAGTTCCTTTTATTTGGAAAACGAAGACCAGGGATGGAGGAATGGAGATAGGGATGAATTACAGAATTCTCTTAAATGCAAATATACATATATATATATATATATACATGGATACGTATATGTGGATACACAAACGTCGTATAGATTGAGTTCAGCACTCACCGTTCCCGAGAAGCCCGCAAATACCCGGGAAGCACACAGATAACACAATAATCCACGCGCAACATCTGGAAAACCGTATATTCATCACGCAAACCGTCGTTTCCGATTATGTCCCGGGGAACATCGACCTCCGATGCGAGTTCTTTACTGAAATACGTTAAACTACTTCTTCAGAAGCAGTTTGCGCGGCTAATGGTACATTCTCACTGATTACGCTCCCTTCCTAACGACCATCTGCGCGTCGTTATTATCTCCTTGACCATCAACGATGTTGTCCTCGGCGTTGATAACAATAGCGAAATCCAATTTAAAAAATATATTACGTGAGAAACTATTGCACAGTTTTTAAGTGGTCGGGTAATGCTTGAAACGTATCGACGTAATTTGCTATGATATTTCTTCGTTCGATAAGTAGAAGCTTGTGCGACGAATGTTCGTCGAGAATTTTTAGTGGAAGTAAAAGGAAGGCGTTTGACGGCGCGAAACAATTATTTTCGCGTAAAAAACATTTACATACGGAATTATGTTTTTCCATTCACTTCGCATATACATACATCGACTCATCCGCATCACGCTTCGAGGCGGATAGGGTTCGCATAGGACGTGGTTTGCATTGTAACGATTTGTTACGATTAAGTAAAGCAAACTTTAGGACTTAAGTTGCTTCGTAGGAAACGTATCCGCCGTAGAAGCGGTACCATAGCACGGCATATGGTTCTCAGAAGATGAATTGATCTGCTAAACTAAAAATATTTTTTCTAAATATTTTTATCTAATCAAAATATTTACAAAACGGTGGAGTAGATCGATTTAACTTCCGAGACTCACACATGACACCAGCTGTAAGTACACGTGCAACAGTTTTGACAAACAAACATACACGCGCATGTGTACATTACATACATATACGTAGGTGGACTATACTGTGAAACGTAATGTTAAAAAATTTGTTACGAAATTCCATTTGCGATACAACATCCCACCACATTCATTCCGTACTGTATCATCCAACGATCGTGGTCGTTTCAAGGTCAGACAAAATTCTTCTCTAAATAATAATTTGAATAACAAATGAAATACTTTAAATCCGCTATTCGTTACATAAAAATTCTCATCTAAATTGAATAACAATTAAATAAATTTTGCACGTAAATCGCTAGATAAAGCTTTCATTCACCATCTATTATTCGAATAAAATTCTGTCCATCTCTGATCGCGATGCTTACTGTGTACATGCGTGAAAGTATAAAATTGTGCTATAGCGTAACGATTCGCAATCGCACGCGTTGGCGCGCCAGGGTTTGTTTGTTACTTTACTATATTTTTCTTGGTGGACTTGTCTTTACCATACAAGGCATCTAGAAGCAATCCTATGAACACTGTGAATGTACCTAACCACTGTCTAAAAGTCAAAGTATTGCCAAAGATCAATATCGACCCTAGAACTGTAAAGAATTTTCGGGTAGTAGTTATGATCGAGCACGGTAACGGGCCGAATTCTATGACTGTGAGAAATATAAAGTACTGTCCGATTGCACCTGCTATAGAGAAAGTACTTATGAGCCATATGGTTGACGGATGCCTGTGTATGAACTGAATAAATTCAACCAGCTCTCCAGAAATTAGAATGACAGTACCACTGAATATCACAGACCACATGTTCATGTTCAGCATCATATGTCCAGACTTGGAATTGTGCTCTGCTCTTACTCGTTCCTGTACAGCGCTAGTTAAACCATCCATCGTTAATGACAGTAACAACAACAGTTCTCCAAATGCTGTTTGTCCTTCTGCTGGTTTCTTTGACACACCACCATCTTTGTACATGAACAAAGCTACACCAATCACAACTAAGAAGACAAACAAGTACTTCCTAACTGGATAAACCTGGAAGGTAATGCACCAATCGTTACAAAAAATAACTTCCCCAAAATTACAGTGTGTGGAATACGAAACCTATTGGATCGATATATGAATAATGTTCCTGTCTACAAAATATATTCATGCATAATGCGAGACAAAGCTAATACCTTGTTCCCTAGCAGCACTCCAAGTATCATCACAGGAATGGGTTTACCAGCTTTCCCAATAACTTGTGTTGGATAATTGACAAACTGTAAAGCCATGTTACTGGACACCATGCCTAGTAAATACGTGAGCGCAGATATCGCGTAATATATGTTCGGAGTAGTGTCTTCGCCCTGTTTCATAATTGTCAATAAACTAGTCTTGGCGAACAGATAGTTGACCAGACATTGAGCAAAGACTAAGGTGAACGTGTATGTAAATTTTTCACTGTTCTTTTCATCTCCGTACTGTCCCCGTGTGATCTTCTCTTGTAGCATAGCGAAGTGGAAGTAACATACAAAAATACCGAGAGCACAGAGCAACAGCTTGAAACGTCTCGAGGAAGCCATTGTGATCGTACACACGTGATGTGCCAGACTGGTCACGAATTCTCCAGTTTCGATCCCGGTTTGTTCAGGGGTCAATATCACGCCGAAAATGAAAACATTCTACACGAATGGCACTTAAATAGTACGTGGCAATTAACGGTAGGTTATGTTCCACGCGAATCATACGCGACCACATCGTACGCTCCCAAGAATATCAACGTGTCAACAGATGGCAGCATCTTCGATTTATCTGTAGGAACTATAGTTCCTATAGCTCATGCTATGCGGCGCGTTCTTTTCGCATAAATTTAAAACGCTATATTCGTGTTAGATGTGTTGTTGTTAAAACAAAAGTAATTAATTCAAAAGACATCCTATCGGTTAACATCGTTTATTAACATTGCAAATTCAAATTATATTCTCATGTATGTAAATATATAAATACATTTAATTCCTACATATCTACAGTGCTTCTGATTCGGTCTATTTGCAAACTGAATGGACCGAGGCTGACCCTCTGGTGGCAAGTACGAGAAGATCCTTTGCATCTACACAATCTTTTTGTCCTCGATTTCACCGACATTGTTTGTCGTCTGCCATGGAGAATGACAGTTTAGTTGACCGTGGTGTTTATCCAGATTTATCATCAGTAACTATTTGTAATTATAACAACCGGTGCCAGGAGATTAGCTCGAGCTACTTCACCGATTTTATGTGTAAACATTCTCCAATAAAATGAAGAGAGGTTCGATATCATCGATTCTGAAAGTAAAATCGGCATTGTTCGTTTGCGCAAACATGGTGCTCATGTTGTGCTTTGTAGCGGGAAGCTTCGAAAATGATGATTCGAACGAGGAATCTTTTCACTGTGGTAAAGGATCGAGCAGACAAACGAAACAGACAGATGAATCACGAAACTATTGTACGGTACCAAAGGATGTTCCTCGTATATTCGATGGAGAAAACATCGATCGTGTAGATCGCTTGAAAAATATGGCCCTGATAGAAGGAGGCAGTTTTGCAATCGGAACAAACGATCCAGTTTTTGTGGCTGATGGCGAAGCACCGAAACGACAAATTCAACTGGATAGTTTTTATATAGACGAATTGGAAGTGAGCAACGACGAATTTTCAAAGTTTGTCAACGCGACTGGCCATCGAACAGAAGCGGAAACATTCGGGGATTCTTTTGTATTCGGAGGACTACTGAAAGAAGAAGTCAGAGCGAATATACCAAACGTCGTAGCTCGAGCACCTTGGTGGTTACCTGTAAATAATGTGACGTGGAAACATCCGGAAGGTCCTGGTTCCGATCTGACACGTACGTATGCTCTACTTTACTTCTTTCAATCGCGCGAAATAGGGATATTCGATTCTTTAGAAAAGATCGAACGTCGCTATTTGAGATTTTCTGTAATCTGTTAAAAATAGCTGCAAATAAAATCGAATGATCCAGACAGGATGGATCACCCCGTCGTTCACGTATCGTGGAACGATGCAGTCGCCTATTGTAAATGGTTAGGCAAAAGATTGCCTACCGAAGCGGAATGGGAAGTGGCTTGTCGTGGGGGGCTCTCGGATAGATTGTATCCATGGGGGAATAAATTTGTTCCAAATGGTCAATACAGGTACGAAGGAAAAATGGAAAGACGAGGTTGATTTCCTGACTAGAAATGATTTTCAGAGCGAACACGTGGCAAGGTGATTTTCCAAACAATAATACTGAGGAGGATGGATACGTGAGCACTTCGCCTGTTACGGAATTCCCGCCAAATAAATATGGCCTACGCAACATGATAGGAAACGTCTGGGAATGGACGTCAGATTGGTGGACGACCGATAATATGAAACGTGGTGGTCCCACGAATCCCGTACGTGCAATAATACTTGGTTTCGTTATTCTTATGAATATTTCTTTACGAAACATATTTATCTAGGATGATGGGCTACCTTAAGTGTACTTGCTCCCAGTTTTGTAATCCCAATACTCTACTCACGCTTTATTACTCCCTTCTACTTCCTCAGCTTGAGTACGACATAATTATATGGGCACTCGGACTATCCAGACATATTGATATACTAGAAAGTATTCAAAGGAGATCTTTACGTTTTCCTCCTCTCCTATGGGTCAACTTGATCATAACTACAGTGCCATCATGTACAGGTTCAGGGTACTCTCACTCAGGGATAGACGCACAATACATGAAATTGTTTTTATTCAGAAGCTTCTTACTAATATAATTGATTGTGCACCTCTTTTTGGACTTGTGCCCTTTCACATTCCTCCCAGGACCACTAGGTCCTCATATCTATTTCATCAATTTGTTTCCTTGTCTAGATACTGTCACCTCAATACTATTGTCCATGCCTGTGCTTCAGTCAATTAGTTTAGTTCAGACAGTGATATGTTTATTGACTCTATTGACTCTACTAAACATAGGCTACATAACCTTTTTATTAGCAATTCCGCTATTCACAGGCGATAACTTTGTTATGATTGTGTGTTTGTTAATTTTTGTTTGTCTTGACATCTGTCAACTGTCGTTATTTATAATTGCTACACTGTAATAATTTCATAATGGGCTATGCCCGTATATATGGAATTAAATAAATAAATAAATATTTTCAGACTGGTCCAACTCGTGGTACTGACAAGGTAAAGAAAGGTGGCTCCTACCTTTGTCACGAGAGCTATTGCTTCAGGTACAGATGTGCTGCTCGAAGTCAAAATACACCTGATACGACGGCTGGAAATCTTGGCTTCAGATGCGCTTTATCTATTTGATCTTTATTTAAAAAATTATCAATTTTTTTTCCAAATAAACAATACTTGCATACGCTTTGTGTCTTCTTTTTAATCTTTCTGACAAATACCACGTTTCCCGTAAAATGTTTTTTTAACACATCGAAAGAAATTATTTAATTATTTTTAGGGTTTCATTTTCTCTTTCATGTAAATCGCCTCCTAGCGATGAAAAATCTAAAACACAAGAGGGCGAAGTAGCTCTCAAAAGTAGGCACAATAAAAAATAAACAAACAATTAATTCAGCCTGTTCACCGCTAGGTGGCGATTTACATGAAAGAAAAAATAATACTTATAAACATTTGAAATTATTTAGTCTATAATATGTGCACGTGTGAATACACAAATGTTTATAGAATATTTCTATATATCAATTTACTTTCTATATATTCACCGTAGAACTGGAGTTATTATAAGTAAATAGTAACCTGTGTTACTTCATAAAGATACTTTGCTTTATCAAACATTGCACGTAGTTTTATTACCAGAGTTTTTTTCTTGTTGGATTTATTTACACTTGTTAACCTTGTTATCTGTTTTACAAAATGTACATTGAAAAATTAATTACCTAATTATAGGTCCACCTACTTATGCATTACTAAGATTACTTCGGATGTATTCGACTGCCCTCGATCCGACTCGGTTCGAGTGATTTAAAACTATCGGGCGTCGGCTCGTGATCTACGTCTAAAATTGTGTGAATATGTCTTTATGTTTACATTTTCAACAAACAAGTAAAATCTTCTTAGACGATCACGATCGTTCATAGATCAAATTATTGTGCATTTTTATAGGTAGTGCCTTGCCCAGTCTCGCCTAATGCGAGATAGCACGTTTGATATAGTGGCTGTATATAATTTCTGTAACTAACCTTGTTGCGTACGAGTAAGAGTTGTTTCATAATATTGTTTTAATCGAGAATAAAGAAGGTATGTGGGAATAAGAAGAATTTATTGATTTTATTAAAAAACAGGAAGTGATTGACGAGACAACAATATGAATTACGGAAAGAAATCACCCAGCATGGGGACGCCCTCGGTATATTCGCACGTCACCACGCGCAGCAGTGCTAATTTAAAATCTTCACGATCCGTGCGTAGTGTCAAAATACCCTGGTATCAGAAACCAATCTTGACACATGCTTATGTGCTCGACATTCAAAGAGGAGCCATGTTAACTGCAGCATTTTCATTGGTACATATTAAATGGAGCATCTATACGACCTTTTAACAAGTTTCTAACAATATATACCTTCTTGCAGTGTTTGGCTATGTTTACAATTTGCACCGCAATATTTGATCTTTACTGTCTATCTCAAGCTGCACCAGGTTCAACGCACTATGGTTACTATGTAATATCGTATGAATTTGTTTATGTAGGAAATCAGCATGGTAAGAATAATTTTTAAAGCTCTGATATTTCATAAAAAAAAAGCAGAAGTACCTATACATACAAATCTCTTTCAATGTTTTATTTCAGTGCGGAATGCTCTTGTTGTTTTTGCAATATTCTCCATGCTTGGGGGAATGGCAGTGTTTGCAACATCTCTGATACTAATAACAGCCTTGCGAAAAGAGCACGAAAAGAAGATGGTTCCTTGGCTCTACAGTTTTGCTGCTTTCAGTATTTTCAGATTTTTTGCATTTTTATTCTTCAGCACAGTGAATGATATGATATTCGCCTATAACATCATGATGTGTCTTTTGTGGACGATATTTGTTTTAATTTCTGTTTACGGGTGGCTGATCGTCTACTCCCTCTATATTGAATTGAGCGACCTCACAAGATTAGAGGATTTTGCGCATTTAAGAGTAAGTATTCTGTCAAATATTTCGAAAAAAAATTTGTCTACAACTGACTTCAATTTTAGATTGGCACCATGCAGTCGCTGAATGCGTCTACTACTCACTCCATTGCTGGTTCTCGACCGACGACACCTCATAGCGCGGTGTCGACGATGCCAGCCAATTAAATATGAAAGTTCTCGTCATTTTTATCTATCACTGTGGTCAATAAGTCGCGTTACATATACAGTGGAAATACGACACTGCCTTAATGCCATGTACACCTACGTTGGTTGTGCGTTTGTAGTCAATCCGTCCACGTCTCGCAAACGTCCATACGTTATAAATTCCGTCCAGAATTATTATTATTAAATATAGAATTGTAAGTGTACGAAGTAAGAACCCTACGACAAACGATTCGTACTTTCGTTGTAAAGAAAAAGCATCGTTTATTAGGAAGAAAGATGAATTACTTGTATTTATATTGACTTTTATTACGCCTTATATTTTTATTAATAAAATTTGCACGAATATTCACTCGTAATTGTCCCTCTACTTGTTTCCTGTATCTGCCGTTCATCAGTTTGTTATTTCTTGCTACGTTTAATACTTTCCAGTAAACTTAACATAAAATTCGTGGAATCAAAGTACGGCCCATACACTGAATCAGAAATTAGCATAAGTACGAAAATAACCTACGATGATTCGATTTCTTCGAAAGGTGGGCGTGGAGCCTGTGTCGACTCCGAAGGAGTTCCGTCTACGTTAGTAGCATTTTGATGAAGACTCGAATTCTGTTCTGCTCGTTCGCGAGAAGTCAGAGACAGGTAAGTTTCTCTTAGCATGCTTGACATCGTGTAGAAGATCACGTATACGAAAAGTATAGTTCTTCCGACGAGGGTTAAGAGGGATAAACCGATCGCTATAAATATCTGCCAAATTATTCCGAAAGTGGCTGTTAATATGTACAAAGCGATCGCGAGACACATTTTTCCACGGAAGCTATTTCATTTGGACAAATTAATTAATTTGTTTTCTCGCTTTCTTTTTATCGCACACAAACCTACGACAGCAATACGTGAATCGGATAGCTTCGGGAAAATAAAACGGCACAGACTCTATTCATCTCTTTTTCGTTCTCCGTATATAGAACTTTCAATCTTGAATCCTAGCCTTGATACGATTTCGATTGAAACTAAACAGTTATAAACGGTTTTTGGCGATTAGTAGCAATTTAAATTCCGCGGGATTAGTGCAACATTTAAATTCTCCGCCGGTTGTCTTAAATTGTTTGTAACTATTTAAATAGTGCATAACGATTCAATACACTTATAGGGGAAGATTCCTAGAAGCCTAAGCTTTAATTTGAGTATGCAAAAGTTCATGAATTATTTGTAAATAATCGATAAACAGTCGATTAACAAATGAGTGTACTCTGCGCATGCGCATTGCTGTTTACAGCGCCGGTGCTCTCTATCCTTCTCGCACAGTATATCTTTCTCTTTTGCACAGTTACGAGCGTAGACCTCCACTAGCGTTCTGTTATTCTATTACTCAATCGGAGCTTCCCTCATTCAACCGCTAGATGGCAGCACCGGCGCGAAATTTAAATTTTGTACCTACTAATCGCCGAAAAACGTTTATAACTGTTTAATTTTAATCGAAATCGTATCAACACTGGTTCTTGAATGTTGCTAATGATCTATACTATCTTCCACGAGTACCAAGGTGTATTCTTCATATGAAAAAAGTTAATAAACAAGAGAATAAAGCGAATATTTCTAACGAAGTAACGCGTAGCCAAGACTGACATCCTCGATGATCGTTTAATAAAAACGAGATCGTAACAGAAATTTGTCTTGAATGTTGCAACGATCTATACTACCCTTCGCGAGACGTAAAAGTTAATAATTCATTTATAGAATGTAACAAACAATCGAGCGAAGCAAAAATTCTCACTGAAATCCTTGATGATTGCTTAATAACTATTGAAATCGTAACAAGAATGATCCTTGAGTGTTACTATCGTTTTATGTACTACTATGCTACTATTTACCATCAATGGAGAAACTAATAAATTATTAACTAATTATGAACGATTCTCAGTGAAAAAAGACACGTTAACGACACTTTATTCGATTGTTCGATAACATCTCTCGTTCGTTAATGACAATATTTTATATTTGATATTGTTTTTCGCAGTAGGATAACGACATTCATATTGAATAAAACGTCAATTTATTTATTTACTTCAGTTCATTTGAACGGTAGAAATCAAGTCAATCAACGCTCAATGTTTTCATTGCAACGTCATGGACAACGGGCTGTAACGTTTACGTTTTTCGATAAATCTTTCCATAAAAATTTGTACATCATACTTCCAAGAATGAAAGTTGTACGTTGTATTTTGTATACAGGGTGAGTCTTATAACGTGACGACCTCAAATAACTCATAAGGTATTCGTTGTACGATAAAATGTTTCAAACAAAAGTTGCATGGTATCTAGGGAGACATACAGTGATGTAATCTGTTTTTTACTACCTTACTTTTTTATTGAGATATCAGGGTCACTTTAGTTTTTTAAACGTCTGACATTTTTTTTCGAATTCGGATAAATCATAAAATTTTGTGTAAAAAAAGTATTACATGAAGTGGGACTTCAAATGAATAATTATCGAGATACCTTCAAATTAATAATCTTCTATTAAGAAATACGCTTAGTCAACGTGATTCTTAGCACGACTTTATTCACGTCGGTAGATCATGTCTGTAAACAAGTTCGCTGTTAAATATTAATAATCATCAACACGAAATGCCTATTTAGTATCTCGGTAAGCGTTAAAGTCGTATTGAGAATGATGCTACATTTTTATTACGATGTTCAGTTACAGTTAAACAACGTTATGATAATTGTATATGGTGCGTGTGAAGAAAATGCTATAAGAGCTAAGATCTTGTACCGAGCTAAGTATCCTGATCGAAATCACCCATTGCATTCTACCTTCTTAAGGTGTAGTCGAAGACTCAAAGAACACGGCAATTTTAATGTACAGAAACGTAAAAAAAAAAATATACATATAATAATATCATATAAAAATATTAGACATTCCATTTAAAAAACTGAAAGTGACCCTAATATCTCAATAAAAAGAGTAAAGTAATGAAAAACAGATTACAGCACTGTATGCCCCCCTAGATACCATACAACTTTTGTTTGAAACATTTTGTCGTACAACAAATACCTTACGATTTATTTGAGGTCATCACGTTATAAGAATCACCCTGTATATGGAGAACGAAAAGGAGACGAGTAGAATCCGTGTCGTTTTATTTTTCCAAGGCTGCAACATCGACACGGGTACCTGGGTCTCGTAATTCTTTAATCCTAATTAATACTTGGAAAAAATAAAGCGATATTTATAGGATTATATTTGGTATATAGTTGAGAAAATAATCAGAAATTAATTGACGTTATTGTTGCAAAGATGGGGGCCCCTCCATCGGGGGGTCATGTTTCGTCGGACACTTAGGTACGCTACTGGAACAAAAAGTGTAACGTATCGATAACGGCCAATCTCGAAAGACAGATTCGTTGATATATCCCGTACGAAAGCGTGAACTTCTCAAACGTGCATTAACATTAATTTTGCGTGATCAGTAGCTGGTATCTTGATATCATCTTTCGCGTTTAACGATCGTTTATCAGTTCGATAGTTTTGTATCGACAATTGTGCACTCGATTCTACGACTTGGAGGTTATTGTCTTTGACAATGTAACTTCTATCCAATTTCCATCCCCGTGTATTCATGCAGTGCCTGGTAAGTGAATAATACGTAAATAAATAACTTGGGACGTGGCTAAAGGGAAGGGATTATGGAACACGATAGAGCAACAAACTCTCATCATCGTTTCTGCTCCCACGTCGGTCTCCATATCGAAGAAGAATAAAATCAAACTCGCGATTGCTTAATGCTGATTTTGGAAGTTAATTAACGTTGCGTAACATGGACCTAAAGTTGCATACTAAAAAGGATATACCAAAGATGCAACCAAAAGATTCTTAAAGAGAACATTATTGTTTTGCATTTATTTAGTTGGAAGGATATAGAGACAACTTTTTCTACATGTATCGGACGTCGTTCAGGTTATGTAGATCGTATAAAAAAACCGCAGACGCGTATGGTGCAAAACACAGAAAAAAAAATGAACGAAAGAAAAATATCTCGACATTCCAGTACATTTCCAGTACAGATTAAAAAATGTTATGACGTTCTATTTATTCATTAACCTGTCAAGAGAGGGATGGGCGATACATATATATTGTTGTAAACACACAAAAACCTAATTAATACATAAAATGCTGCTGAAAGATGTTGAACAAGTTTATTGCTCGGCGACCATATCCAATCAGGGCATAGAAAACAGCAGTAACTTGTCCGTAATTGCATTATTATTGTCAATTATGGCGTCGAAAAGCCTCCCCACCGCGCGATAAAAGAGCCAGATAACGATGAATAGCGTGGTATACTTGAGAAGGTTGTGAACAAAGTCGAATCTAAGAAAAAGATCATTCCATTGCATCGATAATTGTATGTTTCATGAAACATTCTCTGGTAAAGAAACAATTTTTTAGACAGTAATCAGAACAGATATCTTTGCTTTTTAAATATTAGTTACCTGGCCATTCGAAGTCTCGCACGAGATATCGTGCTCGGATCGTCTTTAAAGATGTACATTCTCAATCCACTTATGGACTTCAACATGAAATCTTCCCAGTCGAAGTGGCTCATCGAGAACGCGTACAACTCACGATCCTTCGGAGGGAGGGAGTCCCAGAGGTCTTTGGTGTTGTCGCAGGAAAATTTCCAGTCGTGCACGCTAAAGTAACTGGTCAGCGCGGAGAACCTATGCACCTTTTTGTAGATTTTCAGCATCCTGCGAAAAAGAAACAATATTCGATGAGGAATTTTAAAAAAGTTATAGATAGTAGTGATGAGCAAAATCCTATGCTTCGAAGTTTCCTTTTTTGGAAAATATTCAAAAGAGGAAACGAGACAAATATGTCGGCAAACTTCAGATCTATTCGAAGCCTAGGGTTTTGCCCCATCTCTGCAATGAAGGAGTTAGAAAAAGCTCCCCTTCGTATTTATTACTCGTACGTAATATTTCAAAGAGCATATGGTTGTCTGGTTGCGTTAGAGAACCTAACAATCACCTAGGTTTCTTGCCAGTGAGCATCATCGCGACGTCGACGACCAAGGCTGGTAGTAGATGAAGAATAGCTACTACAACAAAGTACGCGTATACATTTTTAACGGCGATAAAGGTGTAGCTCCAGATGCTGTGCACGCTCGGAATCTCTCTTCCGTATTTCATAGCCAGATGCATGTAATGACCCCAGGTGATCCCATCGCCCCACGAAGAGAGGTAGTTGTAGATCGGTGGATCGCCTGATCGATCCCTACAGACAAGAAATTCGTCAGTTAAACGCACCTTAGCACAAAATTGATACAAAAATATTCAATCCCTCTTCTGCTTAACACTTTCGCTGCGGATGAAAATAAGTAGCCGTTCGCTGGGAGCTGCAATTATGATATTTTTTTTAATGAAAAATTTCTTACAAATGTTCTAATATGATTGTTAAACTAAACACAAAAGAACAGACCAACGTGAATGCTTAGATCGTACTGACTGTCTAAATACAACTAAACCGACTAAAAAAGCAAAGGACGCGCATGTGCGTCATTCGCACATGGTAAGGGCGTTAACCCTTTGCACTCGAGAGGTGACTCTCAGTCACCATTAGGTTTCACGCAGCAAATCTACATTACCTAATGCTTCTTTAGGTTTAATTTCTTTGGAGCTCCAAGTGTCAATAAAATGATTGTCGACGAGGTAAAGGTGACCTTATTCTCAAATCTAGATAGCTTAGAATTCATGACAATAGAATGCTAAGAAACATCTCGAGTTGTTGGCAGATACCAGGAAAAACGGCTTCGAGAGCAAAGTGTTAACTTTCTATTAGATTCTGAGAAGAGAAACATAATAATACCCTTTGGAAATGTTTCGTTGAAGATGATTACCTGAAACGTTTGGTCGCGACTGCCCAAGCGGTAACGATAAGAGCGTTAACGGTATAATCAGCTGGAACCAACTCTGCCCTGCGATTTGTGTCCATATTCATGGTCCTCAGGAAGCCGATGCCAGCCGCTGCGAGCGCCCCAGTAGGTCCATAAGCGTTATCCACCCAGCCCTCCAATGGTTCCTTGTACGTCGAGACCACTGTTTGAAACGATATCCAAGTACATTTAACATCTTAGCTGATACACATATCGACTCCTATTCTTTAGGGTTACCTATGGATGGTCGAAATATTCCTACAGGTAACTCCTTCTCGTATCGTCGCACCATCTGCTCTGCGATGCACTTGGTGTAAATGTAGGTGTTGGGATAAGACCCAAGAATTTTCTTTTCGACATCGTTCACCTCTTGGTCGGTGAAATTCTGCATCAGCTGCATCGTTTCCTCTTCTGTTTAAAAAGAAAAAAAGAAACAAGATGTAATATCGTTCTTCTTCGATATCGAATTTAGAATTCTCAAGAGATCGATTTGCTAACCGGACATGGGGGCTGGATAAAACTTCTCGTCGATGTTCTCGCGATTACAATTACTGTAAGCAGTGGAAACATGCATCACGACCTGAAAGACAATACCAAATGATTCACTCGATAGAACATATCAAATATTCAGAAATCAAAGAGACGAAAAATTCAATACGAAGCGAAAAAACAAAAAGAAAGTATGTAGATACTCGAAGAAAATTAATGGATCGAAGTAAAAATGAAGTATGCGCTCATAATACCAGTTCGATAATATATGACAGAGAAAAAAGGGGAAAAGGTGTAAAAACAAAAACAATAAATAGAAAGCGATACTGGCAACGTGGGATTTATAAAAGGAGCGAAGGACATCGTTCTGTGAAGTTGTACGACTGAGGAATTGATTATTCATTCTTTGTTAGTAGCTTTAGCGTAGTTACCTGCAGATTGGACATCCGTTTACAGAGTTCCATCAGTTCTTTCGTTCCTCCAATGTTCACCGCGATCGCCTTCTTTATTTTTTCATCGAAACGAACCGTGGCTGCCACGTGGAACACCACAGTGACTTCCTGCGCTAACAAATCTGCATCCGAGGGGGATAGTCCTAATCCAGGTAACGAACAATCGCCTGGGATCACTCGAACCTTCTGCTGGTACTTCGGTGCTTCTCTTCGGAGACGATCGAACAGCTTTTCTCCAACAGAAATATTTTTTTTTTAATCACAGTAACACTTTAGTACAGAAGTTTTCCTTGTCACAAGGCTTTCGGTTACTCTTTCGAACGTATCAAGTTTGGAAACTCGCAAAATCATATTTATCAATCAATGTAATGGATGTTTCTATGGATGATTCGACTTCTACGCGTTGCAGATCTGTGTATTAGCGATCGATTCCTGTTATCTATGTTCCCCCAGTCTGTAGGAGGGCGGAGCAAAGAGAGGTGAAAGTGGCGTTCGGCAAAAATGAAAAGAAGTGCACGATATTTGTACGATCCAGGATAATTGAGTGCAATTTGCATCGAAAAATATTGCCGTTCCTTTACTAAAACGTTTAATTTGTTACAGACGTGACATTTTTTGTAAAGTAGCGAGTAATTAGGGTACAACTCAGCAGATGATTGTTGTTTACTCCGAGGAGATTAATTGCTGACTTAAGAGACTATCCTGAATTAGGGGATCTAAGAAAAAAATAATTAATTCTATCGAACTTTTTATCCTATTTTCATACATATTTGATTAGTCTGTACAAATTTATTCAACAAGAAATATTCAAATTGAGTCGACTGTGACGCACATTTGTAGAGCACCTCACAATTAAAACTTCCTATAGGCGGGAAAGATGCAGGTCGTAATTTTGGTTTGACACAAAAGAACCAAAAGAAATTTTCATTTTCATGCATTTTTCTTCTATGTGAACTAAGAAAACGACCTGCATCTTTCCCGCCGATAGGAGGTTATAATTGTGAGGTGTTCTACAAATGAGCGTCACAGTCGACTCAATTTGAATATTTCTTGTTGAATAAATTTGTACAGACTACTCAAATATGTATAAAAATAGGATAAAAAGACCGATAGAATGAATTATTTTTTCCAGCCTAAAAAAATTCACGAAAACCGCTTTTTTAAGACCTCCTAATTCAGGATACCCCCTTAAACTGTTTAAATAATTCGTATACACTTTAGGGAGTTCTGCAGGCTTGCATAAAGGTTCGATCAGTTTTAAAAAACACCGATACGAGAAGAGGATTTTGAATCGATAAACGCGGCGCAGCTCGTACGAAGCATTGAACGCAGCCAGAGACTTCAATGCCTGCATAAGGTGTCTACTCGTTAGACATAACGTCGCCGCGCATTTCACCAGATCAAAGCTCGATCACTAGGCGATACCAGAGATGACAAGGGTCTTATTTAAGAATAAAACTGTCACTCAAATAAAATTCTACAATCCATGAACGATACTCACAGGTTCTTCGAATATTCTCTCGAAGCGTCGCTCCGCAGTCTCGCCCTTCTTTGCTCTGGACAACGCGTAAACGTACTTGATTTCTGTGCACGTTCTGAGCAATTTTTCGATCAACAGCTTTCCCAGGAAACCTGTGCCTCCTGCGCACACATCGTTTTCTCAATACCAAGAACACGAAAAGAACGCGTTACGAGAAAAGAATCGACCGAATGTTTCCTCTAATTGCTCGATCGTGGTCAAATTAAAATACCGGTCCCTGCTTAATTAACTGTGACGAATAATCACGAGGATGCAATTAAAAAAGAGTTCGAGCTCCGGAATAGTTTCACACCTTGACAAATCTACTAACTTTTTATTTTCTTTTCGATTTACACTACAATCCTCAGGCTCCGGTGTCAATTATTTTATTTAAATAACAATCGTCGTCGTTACCTGTTACCAAGACACTCTGACCAGCGTAAAACGTGTTCACCAACGATTCTTGCTCGACCATAATTGACGTTCGATTACGCAGCCTCTCTGGTACTCTATCACCTGTGCCTCGTGCGAGACGGCCGAGACGCGAATTGAAAGATGCAACGCGGAATACTATGCGCGGCGTTCTTGTTTACAATTTTGCAGTCCGACCTTCCTGGAATTTTAGTGGGGGTTTGGAAAAAGAAAGCAGAAGGAATGCCAGACAAAGAGACCATGAACGAACGCTTTAACGAAGAAACTTACCGTACGGGATCGCGAAGAAAGCAACTTTCAACTAAGAGGCAAAGAAGGAGCCGATGGGCAAAAAGCTGGTTCCCGTTTATGGGGTTTGTACCAGCTGAAATCCTTCTGTGCCTGAACGGTGTCCGTAAGACATACATCACTCTAAACATTTCAAACTACTGGACACTCTATTCTCAGTAAAGCGGTAGCTCGAGCCTTTGAATGCGGAAACAATCTCGTTGAAACGTTCTTTGTAGTACAATATGGTCCATAAATTAAAAATCTTTATGTACTTCGTATAAACCAACAATTTTTAACTTTGCGAGTTTGCAAAAAAATTGCTTTATTATTCATTCTGATATAATTATACAAATATTTTACTTAGATTTCTGTTGACTCTCTGGTGTGTTTCGCAGTGGGTGTATCACAAAATCGTTTGACTTCAAGTGAAGGAATTCGTTCATTCCAAAGACAATCTCCATTTTCTATGTTACGTATACAGAAACTCGCTGTTTGTTTCCGAAGCTTGGGTTCATCAATTTTATTTTATCTACCCTCCTGGAATTTGGAGCTCGGTCTCCCTGGAGTGCATCCTGCAGCTGCATACTCTTAACATCATCTTCGATCCGCGAAGACGGTTTTCATCTATTACGGCATTTAGAATCACACTCGACCCCCGCATCGCCAGTGCGTTAACACCGTGCAACAATTAAGTAATTAAATTCAACGTTTACTACACACGACCGCGACAACAAAACACTGCACATTTGTAACTTAGTATAGTTATTCTGAATATATATATCCTTTTGTGTAAATTCAAAGTTTCTGTTGAGAATAAGCACTATGTGCCTATAATTTTGAACGTTTTCTGTAGTTGCGCTCGTCAACGCAGTCCCCTCCTTACCGGGGGTCGGCTTTGCCTGAGAAGAACACGGTTTATTGCACCCCCTGACCGTTTATAGTTTTTCCGACTCTCGGCAGGCAGTTAGCAGAAAACCTCTGATCGAAGAACATCGGTTCTGTCTTGTAAATTATAGCTTATACTTTTAAATATACACTTAGTTTAAAACTCTGTTGTATTTATTTCCTAAATAAATATTCAACAGTTTCCTAAGTCAATTACTAAACCTTCACGATATAACAAGCAATCCTAGCCTGTGTAACGATTCCACAACATAATAACTTTGTCGCTCGAGTTATTATTCAATTAAATTAATAAGTTGCGAGGCTTTATCCGCGACGCGTAGTATTCATCAACGATACGATTTAAGCTCAGTGTATTCAACCCGAATTCCCTAATTCAACCTATCTTGCGGTTACCCTTAACTGGGAGATACCGATTCCTGCAGCTATCTGACTTAATATCCGAGGCGTCTGCATTTGTCTCCAATAACTAACAACCAAAGACCCTAACCTACGGTTACCCTTTACTGGGAGATACCGATTCCTGCAACTATCTGACTTCACGTCAGAGTCGTCTGCATTGTCTAATCTATCCTCAGTCTTCGGCACCATTGGTACACAATAATTAATCGTATTGGTTCAATTCTCAAATCTATCCCACTCGCTGGGCTCAAACGCGCGTCGCTATCGCCCTGGCTCCTAACATCTACAAAAAATATTCCCTTTTATTAAAAAAAAAAAAACCATGAAGTCGATCTGAAACAGTCTCTGAGCAGAAGAGACGGTCCCCCTCTATGGAACAATTCACAAAGATTTTATATACTATACAAACAAAACTGTTTAAGAACGGTTATAGAAACGAAAAGAATATGTTGACAGCTATTAAAGGGTTAAGAGTTCGGGTCGTTCCGTCTGCGACGACCTAGAATCTTGTATTGTCCGTTGCTCAGGAGTTGGCGAGCAGCTACAATTGGTTGTCGCGTAACAGCGACATTTCTACTTGTATTTTCAGTATTGGCCGAGTCAGTCACATCTACAAAGCTACCGCGTGACGAAGGTCGTGAACAAGATAGAACGAGAGAGCAATAGTAACCAGTGCTCAAGCATAATCCTCTGTCCTTTCGGTCCCCTCTAGTTTGTGGGACCCACGCCAACTCCTGAGCAACGGTCTATACGTGTACTATAATAGATATATAAATATACTCCTCATTAATTTCCTAAAAAATCCGTTTATATACAATTATATTCTGTATGTTGATGATACAAAAATTGTATAAATTTTGTTTTTTATTTTATAAATAAGTGTGTAAACAATTTCCTCGATATACAATTCCTTGGCCAGGGAGGGCCTTCGCCAAGCGACCCTTCGCTGGACAAGCTTTTGCCAACACCTGCCGTGAACGACCAATTCGAGACACGAACGAGAGGAACGCGACGCATCGGAGCGTCGAATCGACGCTTTGGCCTTTCCCTCCCGTTCCTCCGAGTTGCTCTGTACGCCGGAAAGCCAGCCAGCGCCATTGTTGATCGAAAACGAGGGTCCCGCCATTGGTACCCGACGAGTGACATCGATTCGATTTGGTTCGAAAATGCAATAATCCATTCGACGCTGTACACTCACGCACACGCACGCACGCATTATTAATATTTATGTGGATATACTCGCAGATCGGCTACGCAGCTGGCGATATATAAACCCGGTAGAGGTAAAACACCGACAGCCAGCATATTCGAAACACGAGGTACGCGAGAATCAATTTGCACGCTTGGTGAATCCAGTATAATCTGCAAAGTAAAACGGCGGAAGTCAAAATTCGTTTCGACTACATCTTAAAGAAGATAGACGGAGTTTCGTTTACCTCTGCCATCTGACGCGTGCTTGTTCGAGAGACTCGATGGGATCCTTTATCAGATACACCCGAATACCTCGTATGTACGATCGGAAGTAAAGGTCCCAGTCGACTTCCGTGATGTCGCAATTGAAGTTGTGGCTATCCTCGGGGCTCATCTTCGCCAGCACCTGTTTAAAGTTCTCGTTCGTGAACTTCCACTGCCTTGTGGTGAAATAATTCAGCACGTTCATGAATTTATGGATCTTTTTGTAGATGTTCAGCATCCTTTAACAGAAAGAAGCGAGTTTTATTAGAAAGAATCGGAATGAAGCACGGCGATAGAAAACTTAGCTAACAGTCGTTTTCAAAAATATTGTCTACAGGACTTTGATAAACCTTATCACATAGTCCTTACAGTCAACAACTAATTTAGTCTAGAAAGATAGTTTTGGCCAGGGTTTCGATGCAATAGACCACCGTGTGAATGAATAAGGGATTACCTGGGCTCCTTCCCCACGCAAACCGTGACGGTGTCGATCAGGAGAGCTGGTAGCAAGTGGAGTATGTAGACGTAAAACAAGTGGACCAGTTTGTGCTTGTTGTTACGGAAGCTGTAATACCATATCGCTTTGCCAGTGGGGAACTCGAGACCGTGCTTTTCAGACTTCACTTTCAGCTGGTCGTACGTGATGGGGTTGTCTTTGCATACGTAATTATACACCGGCACGTCGTTGTTTTTCTCATCTGTCGTGGCCCTGCAAGTGTGCGCAACGGCCCAGGAAAAGCGGTAAATGTAGAATACGCGTGGAGGAGAGAAAGGTTGCGATGAGTTGGGCAGCAATCGTTATTGAGATCGTCACTCAGAATTATCGAATGAAAATATCACATCTGGAGATTAAGAGGAAAACACGAAGTAGTCCAACAAGAATAAGTAAAAGTTACGAGAGGTACTACTAATGCACGTAATGCAAGGTTGGACGTTCTCTGTTTTTGTAATCGATAGACTGACTCTTTAAGTAGCCTCAGTTACCGCAAACAGAATGTATTATGTGTATGTAAAAATAGCTGAAAATAGCATTCCCTATTTTCCTCTTACCCTTCATTTGCAATCGGCGATCGTAAATAAGTAATCTGTAATTATCCAGAGCTAATTTGATTGTTGAACGATCACAAATCGTGGATTACGTTTTGCTCAACACTAATTGTCAGAAAGAGGAGTCGGTATAGAGACAAATGCGCGAACGAATCGGATAAAAATCGAACGACTCGTGTCTTCGTATTTTACCTTCGACGGTTTGCTACGTCCCAAGCACAGGCTATCAGAGCGTTTACCGTTAGATCTCCCGGCACAACGTTGGCGGGTATCGACCCGTCGCAGTGTATAGATCGTAGGATCCCCGTACCTGCGCCAGCCGCAACGCCAGTCGGCCCGTACATGTTGTCGATCCATCCTCGCAGCGGTTCACGATACGTCGATATCACTAGAAATTTACATAAATTCCATCCAGTCACCGTCGACTAATTCTCTAAATGTTGATCAACACGTTTACTGGTACCAGTAACGTAAATGCTACGGAAGGATAGCAGTATGATTCTCGATCCATCCCCCTTTATCTCTACACGAGAAATCATTATATTTCCTTGATTCGTCTAGTCCCTGAAGAGCGTGACGCAATTTTTGAACGGTACCTTTCGAAGACACCCAAGGACGAGCGCGATTTATAGACAAGCGTGCAAAAAATAAGATTGAATTTAGAAGTAAGGCCATCGTCGTCAATCGTCAATGATGTAAACTGTAATTTAGCAATACTTCCGGGTCCGTCGATTCTTATAAGAATTTCAAAAAGCTTTTTATTGAGAACGAACAATTTTCAACTCGCTTCGTCCTAGATTCCCGATGGAGTCATCGCTAAGGCTAATCCGGCAACCCATTGACATTGACGCAACCATGGGTGTTCGAAGATGACTTTCATATCGCAGGAGTCAATTGCTTAATGAATCCGTGTGAACAGGTTTTAGTTAAGTAGGCTCTCTGTTACGTTATCCGTGGGGACCTAAATTTATCCTTCTAGAACCTGGTGAAAACTAAATCTGGATATTTTAAGCACCGATGTTAAGCAACACTTTGTAACACACGTTGCTGAATCATCGTTTATATCGATGTCGGTAACGAACAAAATCAGCTTTCTTAGATCTGCACTTTCAGGTGTTCACCAAGTACATCGTTAAGTAAGAAACAAATTAATTCGCGTCGCCCGTGAAATACTAACCGATTGCGGGACGAAATATGCCCACGGGCATGTTGCCAGCCTCTTTCTTGACGATGCTCTCGGCCACTGCTTTCGTGAATGTGTACGTGTTCGGCCATCTACCCAGTAATCTGTGGCAATAACGATAACAATCATCGTAATAATGCTGCAAATCGCAATTACAAGATTTTTATTTATGGTACTTGATCTCTGTGAAGAGCTTGAGCATCTCCGTTATTTATGCGAAAAAGCTTCCTTGAGATTCTCGCGTCTCTTCGCGAGATCGATTTCGAGACGCATTCGCGTCCTTTGAGTCTGTCTCGACTATGTTCGCACCTAATTAACACGTTGACTGCCATTTTGGACACTTGCGACTACCATCTTGAACTCGACGTATCTTCAGACTACTTATAACTACTGAAGCCTAGCATTTGGAAAATCTAAGACCGAGTCACCACACTCAGAAATGCCCCAAATTAACAGTGCTTCAAGGAACAATTGAATTCTGTTTTTCATTCTACAGTCTAAGCGAAAGATCACTAGCACCTTGAACACAACGTATCT